GTCCTTTCAAGTGGGAATTTCCCATAAGAGATGGGAATAAGATTCTTAAGTTCAATAGTGAGTGACTGTTATCATGACTAATTACGACTGTCACAATTGTAAAGGTAGAAGTTTTGTAACAAAAAGGGGGGAGTAGTTAATCTTACAATCCAGGAACAGAGGACCCTAGGACCATCAAGGGAGAAGAGCACAAGCGGAATGTGGGACCCTGTCCAGAAAAGCAGTGACACCAGAGATGGACAGAGATGGGGACACGGAGAGATGGAGCAGCTGAGGACTCTAGACTCATGGAAAGAGAAAGGCTGTGTGCCGGTGGCTAGGAGGCAAGCATGTAGAATGTGCCCTTTGGATGTTTAAACTATTATATATTCCTGAGTGTTTTTGTGTACATCCCCCACCCCATAAAAAAAACAACAAAACAAAACAGAGGGAATAGAAGCAAATACTGTTGAATAATGATGCGCGGAGGAGACTGTAATCATTGCAATGAAACAATGAATGTAAAACCGATGTTCCCCCATGTAAACTATCACTCAATTCAAAATAAAAACTTAAAAAAATATATATTTAAGACATAAATACACACATAGGATAGATACATACACATTCCACACACACACACACCCAGGGTAAGAGAAATAATGAGAATTTTAGTAAATGAGTTATTTTCTAAAGTTTATATTATATAAACCTACAAGAAGAAAGAAACAAACAAACAAAACCTTGACTTTATATTGAACTCAGTAGTTCAAAAATGGAATGTTCTTAATAAACATTTCCTAATAACCTCTGGTGTCCTGGTGTGGCACTGTGGGTTAATGCACTGAACTGCATGGTCAGTTTGAACCACAAGGCCGGTGGTTCAAGCTCACCAGCAGCTCCTCGGAAACCCTATACAAGGTTGCTATGGGTCCGGACAAACTTGACAACAAAAATAGCCTCTTAAGAGTTCTGGTGTGGTGCTGTAGGATAAATCCTCAATAGCAAGGTCTGTTTGAACTGCAAGGTTGGTGGTTCAAACTCACCAGTCACTCCTTGGAAACCCTATACAAGGTTGCTATATGTTGGAAGTAACTCAACAGCACTTAATAACAACAACAATAGCCTCTTGGCAATGCGGTGAATCCATACAGTAAGCACTGGACTGCAAACCACAAGGTCCATGGTTCGAGCCCATCAGCTGCTATGCACGAGAAAGATGAGGTTTTCTGCTCCTTGAAGATTTAAAGGCTCAGAAACCCTATACAGGGACACTATGAGTTGGAACTGACTTCACGGACAGCAATTAACAACAAAAATAGTAGCCTCTTATCTTTTCATACAAGACAAATATCTTGTGGTTTGCATATTAACCACAAAGAAGGAAAGTATATTAACTTTATTATCATTTATTTTAAGTCTCTTGAATACTTCCTGGAGGAAGGTAAAATTCTAATTTTGGGGGTTGGTAGGATAAGCAAATCTTTGGCTCTGATTTGTAGGTTACTTTTGGGGAGAAGGTAACAGCACTATAAAAATTAATCATCTGGTCATGAATTACCTTTAAAGCTGCAAGGTGCTTGTTCCTATACATGCTTCCCTAATTTCAGTTCAAATATTTATCACTCATTTACTCAGTAATTTAACAATTAGGTAATATGCGCCTATTAAGTGCCAAGCCATGGCCTGGACCTTAGGAATATAAAAACAAGTAATGCATGGGAACTGGCATCCTAGAGAGGAAACAGACAAGAGCCTATACTTTCTTGAAGAGATTTCTGTAAACTATTATGAAATTTCCATTGCTAATCTTATTTACCAGATTTCTGTAAAAAACAACAGTTTTAGAGCAGAATTAATAATAAATTCACAAAAAATATACAAGGGGGGCTTCAAAAAATTCATGGAAAAATGGAGTTAAAATAATAAAGGATGTTTTCCATGAACTTTTTGAAGCTTCTTCGTATTCATCAATGAATGCAACTTTATTCTGTGAATTATGTCTTTTAAAAATATGTACACAGTTATGTATTATTTGTATGTATGCTGTGATCTGACAACAACTGGCTTGGTTTGAAGTCTTTCCTAGCTCCTGGTAACTAGTCTACTTTCTGTCTATGAATTTACCTATTCTAAATGCCTCATATAATAACAGTAGTTTTTCTTTGGTTTCTGGATTATTTGACTTAAGTGGTATATAGATAGCATGGAATATTATTCAGTCATAAAAAGGAATAAAATTCTAATACTTACTATCACATGAAGGAGCCCTGAAAACTGTGCTAGGCTGCTGCTGGAGAGAGTTTATGAGGGTACATGTGTAGATTCTACTAACCAGAGCTGCTTTTAGAAGCTTCCTAGGACTCAAATTTCTGTTAGACCTACTGTCTTCGTCTTACCTTAAAGTTTCTGAGGTATTTGAAAAGCCATTTCCAGAGTATATTTAAAAGTAAAACCAAGCCGTGCTATGAACAACTCAAGGGCAGGGATAGCATACGGATAACTTGTATTGGCATTGCCTTTTACCAACGTAACAATACCATCAAGTGGTATTGGCTCAGGATAAGGTCTACTCTTCAGACAAAGCAGTGCATAGCCTCCAGATGCAGAATAAAGATACATAAAAATGAAGGGGTCTCTTATACATTTTTCAAAGATGAAGAGTACTTTGTTGTTGTTAAGTGCCATTGAGTCGATTCCAACCCATAGCAACCCTGTATAGGATTTCCAAGGAGCAGCTGGTGAGCTTGAACCACCAACCTTGCAGTTCAAACGACTTTGCAGTCTGATGCATCAGCCCACAGCGGTACTTTAGTGATGAAAATTCTTACTGCTGTCAAGTGGCTAGTGAAAGAGCCTTAAAAAGTGTGAACTACTTGTATCAAAGGGCTATTCCATACAGTGACAGAACTTAAGAAGACAGCTCTCTACACCCCCTGGTGGCCAGACCAACTATTTATCAATAGCAGATAGTTGTCTATTCTGAACAGGAAGAGTAACATATCTATCTATATGGTGGGGATGTGCAGAGTGAAGCAAAAGCAAAAGATGAATAGTAATGTGATCAGATCCAGTTTTTAATATATCAAAAGCCCTACTTCTGTGAAACAAAAAATCTCCACAACATATCCTGTGATAAGCTCAGTATTTGACTTCTCTATGAAATGCTAACCTAATTAATTTGCTTCTCAAAACACAAAGCAGGGTGATGGAGCATCATGTCGACATCTTACTATCAAATGATTACTATCAAATGATAGCACACCTTCCTCTTTAGTTTTCTAACTTTTCTGTAAGGTACTGCTAGGTTTTTCTGTATTTATTACGTAAGTGATCCTTTTCTTATGACTAGAAGAGGTCTAAACAAATCCTCTTCTGGTCATATTAAAGATTTACTGCTAGCAATTTAAAAACAAGGGTCTTCATGATTCTTAATGGCTTAACAAAGTCAGTGCTATGAATCAGAGAATAAACTGAACTTGCCACATCATTATGTAATACTTTGAATAACTATTCCAATGGATGGCATATCAATACATAAAAACTGAAATTAACTCAGAGATTTTTAAATTTAATTTACCAGAAAATTTAAGAATTCTTTGGAAACCTTTTCATTCTAATGGGAATAATGTTATAATTTAATTTATCTTAGCTCTATGCAAGACTGACACTTTACTATCAGATCTTTCCTAAGAGGCAGTGAAAACTTAATCAAGCCAAAACGTATATAATAACTACGATAGTTAAAATATTGCCATTACTCTCAGTATTGATGAAAATAAACTATATTAAGTTGTAGTTTAGAAGTTGTTGTTAAGTGCCGTCAAGTCAGTTCCAACCTACAGCGATCCTCTGTAGGGTTTCTAAGGAGCAGATGGTATGCTTGAACTCCTGACCTTGTGGTTCAAATTGACCAGTCCAGTGCATTAATGCACAGCACCATACCAGGACTTGTAGTTTAGAAGAGAGACCAATAAATAAACTACTCCTGTAGTTTAGAAGAAAGAGCAATAAATCAACAGGAATCCCTGGTGGTATAACCAGTTAAGTGCTCAACTATTTGCTGAAAGATTGGTAGTTTAAACTCACCCAGAGTACACAGTACACTCTGCTTCCAAAAGTTCACAGCCTACTCTACACATAGGAGGTCACCATGAATTGGAATCAACTTGATGGCAACTTAGGACAACAACATATCACCAACAAATACCTGGTAATCATTAAGGAAGTATTCTGTTAACCTGCTTCTCTCCACAACAAGTATGCTTTTTGTATCCTTTCTTTGTATCAGTTAGCTTGTTTTATTGGGTTCACAGGACAGATGTTTGGTAACATTTAAACAGTTATCTAGAACTTACTGAACTGTTACTTGTGGGAAAGAGTTGCTCTGAAAAAATCACTTGCAACAATAAGAGAAACTTATTATATACCTCCTAGATTTCTCCCATCATTGTTTTCTTTTAATGGCAGCAGGGATTAGTATCCATGAGAGAGGAAAAACGTTTCTCATTGTATTTTAAAGGTTTGGATAGGTTATTCAGTATATAATTTGCATTTAGGAAATGAAATATTAACTAATCTGTAAGAATTGCCAAAAAATACATGAAATTGAAAGATAAACATAAGTAAAAAATTGAAGGCTAAAATGTTCTTCAGTTAATATTCTCCTAAAGGTAAGGAATATTTGCTTAGTACTCAAGATAATTCTTGACCTAGGTCAAAACTGGGCCAAACTGGCTTTTCTTTGATCTTTTAAAGCAATCTATCAACCTTGGAATAAAGGCCTGGTCAACTACTTTCAGTCATTTAAAACCCTATGGAGCACAGGTCTTTTTTTGACAAACATGGTATTGTCATGAATTAACTTCATGGCAAGTGTTTACCATTTCAAATGTTTCTGAGTCAGTAATTGAATTCTTACAGCAATCTGATTTTTGAGAGACCAGTGGATCATCTTGGAATCTGATAAATTAATAAAACAGTAATTATAAAATGCTACAGGGTATAATGAGCAAACATACCTCCTGGGCTGTGACCGGCATTCCTCCTCCCCACTGTCTGCCTCCTATATAGATAAGAAAGAAAGAAAAAGTAATTTAAAACCTAAAATCTTGTATCACAATATCAATAATGCAAATTTACTAAACTTTACATGTGACAATATGTATCTCATTTATAAATAACTATGTTACTCCAACTAAATTTATGTCATAAAAAGTGACTACCCCAAGAGGCTGATACAAGGGGGCTATCAAAAGTTCGTGGAAAATGAAATTAAAAGAGAATGCAACTTTTCTACAAATTTTTTGAAGCCTCTTTGTATGTGTCAATAGAACTTATTCATGGAGGAAACAGCAACAGTCTACAAATAAATTTTATGGATAGCAAAGTACTAATTATTAAAAGAATTACCTCTGAAAGCAACTGAACATGCTATGTATATTACTGTTAAGCTATCTCAAATTTAAAATGAGTGAGTATTCTATCACCAGTGAATTTTCTCAGGATGACCCATTATTTTATTCCCTGCACAACAGCCTAAACATTGAGCATCTTCATACAGTGTTTAAGATCAAATCATCATCACCATCAACATAATACCCACTGCCATCATGTCGACTCACAGTGATCCTATAGGTCAAAATAGAACTACTCCCCTGGGTTTCTGAGGCTGTAAACCCTTACAAAAGTAGACTGCCTCATCTTCCATAGAGTAGCAGGTGGGTTCAAATTGCTAGATTTTGGTTAGCAGCCCAGTGTTTAACCCATCATACCACCAGGACTCCTTATCAATATAATGACTACCACTTACTGAGTATTTACATTATGTTAGGTACTATGCTAAATATTTAAAATTATATAATATAAATATTTAAGGTACTATGCTAAATATTTTAATAAATAAGCACAATTATTTATTCCTTATAAGCACAGAAGGCTGATTGTTCCATAATTTTCACTGAGTATAACATGCTTATAATTGAGAATATAGCTGCAATCAAACTGATAAAAACAAACAATGGATTAGAATTTATTGCACTACTTAGTTTTTTAAGTTTTTATTGTGAATTGAGTTATAGTTTACATGGGGGAACATCAGTTTTACACTCATTGTTTCATTGCAGTGATTACAATCTCCTCCATGCATCATCATTCAACAGTATTTGCTTCTAATCCCTTTGTTGTTGTTTTTTCGGGGTTGAGGTATTTAGTTTTTCTTAATGACACATAAGATAACATTGTTTTTCACTGCTTTTGAGTATGCTCCAAATCATGGTGACCTGAAGTATAACAGAATAAAACACTGCCTAGTTCTGTGCCGTCTCTGTGACTGTCAGGATGTTTGAGTCCATTGTTGTGGCTACTGGGGCAATCCAGCTTGAGGATTTTCTTCGTTTTCACTGACTGTACCAAACATGATGTCCTTTTCTAGCTATTGTTTTTTCCTAACAATGTGTCCAAAGTAAACAAGTCAAAGTCTCACCATCCTATTTTCTAAGGAGTATTTCTTCTAAGGCTGATTTGTTCATTGTTTTGGCAGTCCAATGTATATTCAACATTCTTTGTCAACATCACAATTTGAATGTACCAGTTCTTCTGTCTTCCTTGTTCAATGTCAAGTTTTCACATACATCACATACATGACTGAAAGAACATAATTTGATTATCTTTGCTTTTTAAAGCTTTACAGAGGTCTTTTGAGCAGATTGGACCAATGCAATGTCTTGAATTTCTTGATTGCTGCTTCCAGGAACACTGATCATTGAACCAAGCAGATAGAAATCATTGACAACTTCAAATTTTACAAGATTTATCATGATATTGCTTACTGGTCCAGTTGTGAGGCTTTTTGTTTTCTTCACATTCAGGAGCAATCCATACTGAAGACTGTATAGTCTTTTACCTTTGTCAATAAGTGCTTAAAGTCATCTTCATTGTTGGCAGACAAGGTCACATCATCAGCAAATTACAGAAGTCATCTTCCAATATTGATGCTGTATTATTCTTCATATAGTCCAGTGTCATGGATTATTTGTCCAATATGCTGATTGAACAAATAAAGTGAACGAATACAATACTCTTGCAAACCTTTTTCAACTTTAAACCACAAAGCATTTCCTTGTTCTGTTTAAATAATTGCCTCTTTTGATCCATTTACAGGTCAACATGAACACAACTAAATGTTCTAGAATTCCCATTCCCTGTTATGTTAAACATAATTTATTCTGATCCACATAGTCAAAAGCCTCTGCATAGTCAACAAAATAAAGGTAAACGTCTTGCTGGCATTCTCTGCTTTTAGTAAAGATTTGACATCTGTAACAGTATCCCTTGTTCCAAGTCCTCTTATGAATCTAGCATGAATCTCTGAAATTCCTCATTGATATATGGCTTCAGTTTTTAAATTATCTTAAGCAAAATTTTGTTAGCATGTGATATTAATGATATTGCTTGATAATTTCTGCATTCTGTTTGATTGCCTTTCTTTGTAATGGGCATAAATACGAATCTTTTCCAGTTGGTTGGCTAGGTAGCTGTTGTGCCAATTTCTTGACATAGATATATATAGAAGGGCTTCCAATATTGCATCTGTTTGTTGAAGCATCTCAGTTGGTATTCTGTCAATTCCTGGAGCTTGTTTCTTGCCAATGCGTTCAGTGCTTCTTGAATTTCCTCCTTCACTACCAATGGTTCTTGATCACATGCTATCTCCTGAAATGACTGAACATTACAAATGATTTTGGCACAACAGCAGTATACTTGCCCTAAAATGTATTATAATGAATTAGAATCCAGTATTTCCTTATGGTTTTTTTTCATCTGGGTTTTTAGAGTTACTGTTGACAGCTTGATATCAAATAAATATATCATTCTTTGAAAGATAATGATAATCATGGCAAACTATCTTTGCTAATTTAGCTAAAAGATATTGAGTTTAAAGATGATTTCAGGGGATAATTTCAGTTCATGGTTTGAAGATTTTCTCAGAATGATAGATGTGACGGTTTCTCCAGTTTCAATAGGTCCATTAAGTTTGTATTCAGTAAGAATATAAAATTCTGTTCTATAGTTCCCCCCTTTTAATCAAAGGAGAAGAGCTTATTAATTATACTACTAAATAAAATGTTTATTGGCTTTTTAATTTTCTAATTTGCAGAGTCCTATTGCTAAATCCCACCACTCATCTTTAAACTCAATAGCTGTTTAGCTAAATTAGCAAGGATAATTTGCCATGAGTATCATTATCTTTCAAAGAATGATATATCTATTTGATATCAAGCTGTCAACAGTAACTCTATAAACCCAGGTGAAAGTTTCTGGACTGTAAGATTAACTGCTCCCCCATTTTTGTTACAGAACTTCTACCTTTACAATTGTTAACAGTTGCAATTAGTCATGATAACAGTTATTCACTATTGAATCATAAGAATCTTATCCCCATCTCTTTTAACCAGACCCATCTAGATATGATGAAAGCCATTCAGTGGGGGCTCTTTCTTCCTCCACACAATCTTAAACTAAATTCCCTCTTGAAACCTTGTAAGCCAGTCACTTCGTGCTTTTATGTCCCTTTGTTTTCGGTAGCCAATGTCTAAGTTGCCCGTCACTATCTACCCCGTGTATAGAGGGGACAGCATTGATACTTGATGTGACGACTCCTCCTTCCCTCTCTGTTGGTATTTATAGAGTTACCACTTCTATGAGTATAGGTCAGGTTCATCAAATTAAAGCAATTTACCCTTGTTTCCTTTATCCAAAAAAAAAAAACTAACCTTTTTTTTTTTTTCATCTTCCTCTAGTTGAGTTCTGATTATCAAGCCATCAAGGCTAGGTCAAATGGGCACTATCTGCAAGTTTGGGTGTTCTTGTGCATCTCCCCTCACTTCATATCAGCTGGATGCTTCCCTCTCAGCCCTAGCCCTCTGTGGCTATGTCCTTGTCCGTGGGCTCAGGTGTCCCCAGGTCTCACCACACGTTGGACCAACCAGCCCTTCCTCTTCTGTCATCTCCAGGTCAATGGGAATCAATGGACTATGGTTGAACTCAGCCTGTTTTTCATTGCTGCCTTTCCCCCTCTTCCACTCACCAGTAGACCAATGTGGTTGCCAGCAAGCTTACATGCCTGCTCATGTGTTTCCTTTGAGTTTCAGTCTTAGAGGGGGGTTTGTCCTGAAGGAACTCGATTGCTTGCCTTGACGGCTTCCTGGCAATCATCTTCCTTATTATTGTAGTAGCCAGTCATACTGACATTTTTGTTTTGGGTTTTTCCTGATTAACTTTCTTTGAAGATTTATCTTCTGTCACTCCAGCTATTCCAGGCTGGTTTTCTTGTCCTTTCTAGTGGGAATGTCCCACCTGAGACTATTTATTGATATTCTTAAGAAAAATTCAACTTAGGAATGACAGGGTACAAGATCCCAGATGTGCATTTAATTTTAGGGTATTTGGAAACCATTAAGTGTTAACTGAAAGACGAATATATTCTTATTAATCTATTTAATGTGGTGATGGTTATGTGCAGTGGAGTCAGTTCTGACTCATAGTGGTCCTGTATAGGGTTTCCAAGAAACAGAAAGCCTCATCTTTCTCCCATGGAATGGCTGGTATATTTGAACTGCTGACCTTGCATAGTTGAGCATAAAGGTAGATAACTAAATAAAAGATGTTTGAAAAAAATATAAGCATCTAAGTAATATTTGCTGAGAATACAGGGGAAGGAAATGCTGGCACCTTTGCAAAAACACTGGGCTAGGTAGAATGTGAAGCAATACTTTCCTAAACCTTATCATTCCAGATTCTTTACACTGTCCATATATGCTCAGTTTAAGTGAACTCATTTGTAATTTTTCAAAGATACCTATGATGTCTGTTGTTCATGATGCTGCATCAACCTGTAAGCTCCTTCCCCTCTACTATATCATTCTGCAGCCTTCATAGCTGGTTTCAAATGACAGTGACTCACGATATTTCCGGTCACCTGACTGATTCTCTCTGTTTCTAGCCAAACCTGACAGTTGCTGTGCATTGTTCTTGTGGCAGTACTCAGTTTGTTCATGGGTTATA